TGTGCCTTACCGGAACAGCAAGCTCACGTACCTGCTGCAGAACTCTCTGGGTGGTAGCGCCAAGATGTAAGAGAAAGGGAGAGGGGGCGGGTTGAGTAGGAAGTGTGTGGGTAATGGGTTGAAAGGGACCTGTGGAGACCTGTCCAGGCTCTGCTGGTCACTAATGCTGGGGTTGGGCTTCCTCTTTCCACAGGCTCATGTTTGTGAACATTTCCCCTCTAGAAGAGAACGCCTCTGAGTCCCTCAACTCTCTGCGTTTTGCCTCCAAGGTGCGGTTACCACGTGGGCCAGGCCCTTTCAGGACCCCTGGGTGATTGTTGGCTTCTGCGTCCCAGCCCCTCTGTGTGCTAGGCCAAGGCCACATTTATCCAGGAAGGATTTACATTCAGCAGGCAGCTGGGCACTGCCCACCTGGTTCCATTTTTAACTTGTGGGTTTTGGATTAAGTTTTTTAAAACAGATGACTAAAAGGTCAAAACTATATAGAGAGCGAGCTATACTCAACACAATGAAATTTTATTACCACCATCCCTGTCCACACCATCAAATCATTTTTATCATTTTATTTATCCTTCCAATATCTCTCTTTTTTAAAGGATTTATTTTATTTATTTGAAAGGTAGTTAAAGAGAGAGATATCTTTTATCCATTGGTTCACTCACAAAATGGCTGCAATAGCCAGGGCTGGGCCAGGCTGAAGCCAGGAGCTTCATCCAGGTCTCCCACATGGGTGCAGGGGCCCGAGGACTTGGGCCATTTTCCACTGCTTTGCCAGGCGCATTAGCAGGGAGCTGGCTCTGAAGTGGAGCAGCTGGGACTCAAACCAGCACCATATGAGATTCCGGCATTGCAGGCTGTAGCTTAACCGACTGTGACACAATGCTGGCCCCCTTCCAGTCTCTCTTTGCAAATACAAATTATATGCATGTTCTAGTTCCCCTCCTTATATAAAAGGCAGCTCATTCTCACATATGTAGTTCTGTACCTTGTTTTGTGTAACGAAACAGTTTCATCAGCTCACAGAAACCATCAAGTTATTTTTAGGTTGACCTAAGACTCCACTGTGTGGATGCACCAACATTTATCCACCAGTTCCCTCTACTGGACACTTGGGTTGTTTTCACGCTTTATCTTTTAAGATTTATTTGTTTGTCTGAAAGTCAAAGTTAGAGAAAGAAGGCAGAGAATGATCTTCCATCTACTGGTTTCACTCTCCAGATGGTCACAACAGCCAGGGCTATGCCAGGCTGAAGCCAGGAGCTAGGGGATTCTTCCTGGTCTCTCATAGGGGCCCAAGCACTTGGGCCATCTTCCACTGCTTTTCCCAGGCCATTGGTAGGGAGCTGGATTCGAAGTGGAGCCAGTGTCTTGAACCAACCAGCGCCCATATGGGATGCCGGTGCAGGTGACTTTATGCACTACATCACAATGCTGGCCCCTCCATACTTTTTCTATCACAAATAAGGCCATGTTGACCAGCCTTGTACATATGCCAGTTTGTATTTTCTTTTTTTAAAGATTTATTTATTTGAGAGAGAGAGAGAGTGCACGTCCATACACTGATTTACTCCCGAAATGGCTGCAATAGCCAGGTTTGGACCAGGTGGAAGTCAGGAGCCAAGAATTCCATCCTGGTCTCCCATATGGGTGGCAGCTGCAAATACCTGGACTGTCTTCTATTACCTTCCCAGGCACATTAGTAGAAAGCTGGATCTTTATGTTAAGTTCCATTCAGTTGCATCAAAAAAGTGTTATTTATTTGAAGGCAGAGTCAGAGAGAGAGATCGTCCATCTGCTGGTTTACTCCCTAAATGTCTGCAACTGCCAGGGCTGGGCCATCTGATGCTAGGAGTTATAAACTCCATCTGGGTCTCCCACGTGGATGCAGGGGCCCAAGCGCTTGGGTGATCCTCTGCTGCCCTCCCATGCACATTTAGCAGGGAGCAGGATTGGAAGTGGAAGAAGCGGGACTCAAACCAGTGCCTGTATGGGATGCCAGCATCGCAGATGGCTGCTTAACCCACTGTACCATACTGGCCCCCAAAATGTCTTCCATATACATTAGGTTTGTCCAAATCAGGATCCAGACAAGGGCCATCTATTTTATTTGATTGAAATATCTAAATTTTTAATTTATAACAGCCCCTGCCCTCCCCCATACCATTTACTTGTTAAAGAAGTAGCATCATTTTTCCTATAGAATATACCATTGTCAGGATTTTGCCTGGTTTGTTGCTTCTTCCCCCAATATGATTTACTGTCCGATAGAGGTTTGATTAGAGTTTAATCAAGTTCAACTTTCTTGGCAAGGTGGTGCAGTGTATTTCCTATTGTGCCATATAGGAAGACCTAATTACCTTTACCTAGTTGTCAGCTAGAATGATATATTACTGATTTGGCTGTTGACAGCCTAATCCATTTTGAACTTTCCCAGCAGCTTTTTCACCTAGTTATTGTCTCAAACAATCATCATATCCAGATCAATTACTTTATTAAGGGTGGTGACTTAGTATTTATTCAAATGGTGATTTTCTAATCCCCTCAGTTCTTCTGCATTTGTTAACTATTCTTCTATGAAGAGCTTGCCCCTGCCATCTAGGGCATGGCTCAGAGATATTATGGGTTCAGTTCCAGGTCACAGCAAGGATATTGCAATAAAACAAATCATGAATCTTGCCTTCCCAGTGCACATAAAAGATTACACTATAATATATTGTGTGCTAATAGCATATGTCTAAAAAACAATGTACATACCTTAATTTAAAAACTTCATTGCTGGGCCGGTGCCGCGGCTCACTAGGCTAATCCTCCGCCTAGCGGCGCCGGCACACCGGATTCTAGTCCCGGTCGGGGCTCCGGATTCTGTCCCGGTTGCCCCTCTTCCAGGCCAGCTTCTTCTGCTGTGGCCCTGGGGGTGCAGTGGAAGGATTGGCCCAAGGTGCTTGGGCCCCTGCACCCCCATGGGGAGACCAAGGAAAAAGCACCTGGCTCCTGGCTCCTGCCATCGGATCAGCGCGGTGCGCCGGCCGCGGCGGCCATTGGAGGGTGAACCAACGGCAAAGGAAGACCTTTCTCTCTGTCTCTCTCTCTCACTGTCCACTCTGCCTGTCAAAAAAAAAAAAAAAACTTCATTGCTAAAAAATGCCATTAGAGCTGTTCAAAAAATGGCACCAATAGAGTTGTTTGGTGCACAGTTGCCACAACATATTTTCTTGGCAAGAAAACTTACTAGATGGTGCTGTACACTTCCTACTGTCTTGTCAGAAGGCACCCAGTATCCAGTTGTTCAACTTAAAGTAATATAAATAATATCACTAGATTTGGGTGTTAATTAGCCTGATCTATTTAAAACTTCTGATCAGCCTTTTCACTTCATGATTTCATCAAACACAGTATCTGCAAAGTGCCATAAAATCAAAGCCCAGTCAAATGAGACATACCTGTATTTGATTACTCTGAAATTCAGTATATAGGAAAAGCAAGGTAAATGCTAGATTCTTTATTGATTTTCCATATTATGAGTTGCTATCCTATAGTGAGAGGGTTTTGGGCTCTCTGTTCCGGGGATTGTTTGGAAACGGAAGCCTCCTCTGCATAGGCCTTGTCAGCACCACACCTCATAAAACCAACCATAACTGGGACAGGCCCGAACTTTCCTTCAGATCCCTTATTTCAGGATTCCCTGAGGGCAGCCCTAGCATTCTGGGCAGCAGGAAGAGATCTTGGGGGAAAAGTGTTCTTTTGATTACTCTGCCAACTTTATTCTGTCTACCTCTCCCCCAGGTGAACCAGTGTGTCATTGGTACTGCCCAGGCCAACAAGAAATGAAGATGCATCCGGTTCCTTAGCATGCGTGCGGGTGTGTGTGCGTGCCTGTGAGTGTGTTTAGGGGAGGAGGTGGAGGTTGGTAAGGGGTGCTTTACGGGGTGGAGGAAGCTATCTATGTACCCGACTTATCAAATAAAGAATAGTTTTTTTTTTTTTAAATAAAGATTTTATTAGCATTTGCCCAAAGAGGAAAATATTTTTCATATCCGTTAAGACAGGAGCTGTGGAGGTGCCTATCCAGCCATGTGTTTGTGGGCTAGGAATTAGGGATTAGGTTTCTCTCTTTAAACTTTTCTTTTCTGAAAGGAGACCTGGAAAGCTAGTTCACTCCCCACATGCCCGCCACAGACAATGCTGAACCAGGAGCCCAGAACTCAACCTGGGTATCCCACCCATGTGGGGGGCAGGGACCTAGGGTGCACAACAGCACCTGGAGTTGGAAGCCAAGCTGGGGCAACCGAACGTGGGATGGGGGTCGCAACCCGAGCTGTGTCTTTTTTTTCTTAAATTACTTGAAATGAAGTTAGAGGGGCAGATCTTGCACCCGCTGGCCCCCAAGTTGCGTCTTAACCGCTAAGCCAAACGCCGGCCTCGGGCTTTCCTCACCTGCTCGGGATCATCTGACTCCCTACGCGCCCTCCCCCGTCGCCACTTCCTTGAAGGGTGCCGCCTGGTTGTCCAGCACAGCCACTGATGGAGCTCCCCTACGACGGGCACCCGGGCCCTGCGGCGGTGCGGCGCGCGCTCCCACCAACTGCAGGCGCTGTCCTCCCGCCCTTTCCTGCCTTCGCGTTCGAACCGCCGGGGCGCTGCCCTCCTGCTGCCCATTGGCTGGCTCTCGGCGGCGTCACCGCCCCGGGTACTAGCCCTCTGCGTCCCGGCGCCCGCCCCGCAAGCGGGAGGGTGCGCACCCGCGCCGACCCCTCGCGCTCCCCGATGTCGGCCGCCGCCCGGCAGGGGAGGGGCTCGGCCTTCCCAGGTGCCGTGCGCGGGAGGGGCCACGCGTGCGCAGAGCCGCGGCGGGAGGGCGGGGGGCCCGCGGGCCACGGGGAGGGCGGGGCCGGGGCATCGGCGGGAGGAGGGCGGGGCGAGGGCAACGGGAAGGGTGAATGGAGGGCGGGGCCGCGAACTGGGGCCCGGGGGCGGGACTTGGAGTGACCACGGGGGGTGGGGCAGCTAACGGATGTAGCATGGGGCGGGGGGCCAGTCTCGAGGCAGGCCGCCGGGAGGGGGATTCCCTCTGGCCCCAAAGGCGAGCCTGCCATCGGGGGAAGGGGCCGCGGGGATTCCCTCTCCTTGCCGGCTCGACTATTCGCGCCCCGAACCGCTGAGGGGCAGCCGCTCGCTCGCGCCCTCCAGGCCGCTGGAGGTGAGGGAGGTGGGGTGAGGTGGTGCCCGCCCCCCCTTCGGCTCCTCCTTCCCCAAGTCCTCCCCTCCCAGCCGGTCCGTCCCTCCCCTCCCTCCTTCCCTCCCTCCCCCCGCCGCCTCCTCCTGCCGCTGCCGCTGCTTTGGCTGCTGCGTCATACGCCCCAGAGCCGCCGGGACGGAGGGGCTGGGCCTGGGGACCCCCCGGCCTCCGCCTGCACGCCCCCGGGCGCCCGGACGTGCCCTCCCCGCGCGGGGGGCTCACCTGGGTCTCAGACGTCTGCCCCTGCCTGGCTCCCGGCGGCCCCAGCTGTCACCGGTAAGGAGGCGGGCAGGAGGCGCTGGTGGGGGGGGGACAGGGAGCCCGGGGGTCGGCGCGCAGGGCGCGGGCGGGAGAGCCTTGCCGCTCTGGCCTCGGGTCGGGCTGGGCCGACTCCAGTGCCTTCTCGGACTTGCCGTGGTGGGGAGGAGAGAGCGGGACTGGGACACGCCCCCCTCCCAGAGCACTCGGGGAAGTTACCTAACCCAGGGGCAGGAAGCCCCGAATTTGAGGGTGACCTGACATAACCGGGCACCGGATGATTGTTCTGTGTGAGACCAGCAGGCCGGGGGACAGCTGTTTCTACTCTGGAAAACACCTCCAGAAACGCTCCCTAAACACATGCCTGGGCAACAGTACCGCGGTGGCGATATGTCTAAGCAGAGGGGAGGGTGAAGCTGAGTAGCAATCTCTGCTTCTCCAGCCATCATTTCTCCTCAAATCTTAAGACCGGGCTGTGCTATCCCAGGAGAGCGCTCGGTTTTGGGGAGGGTGGCCAGGAGAAGTGGCCACCAGAGTTGGAAGAGTTGGGAGTCCGGACACTGAGTGGCTTCCCGTCCTAGTGTCCCAGGGTTTGGAGACCAGGCGTGCAGAGACTGATCCCTGACAGAAAACTAGGCAAAGAAAATGGGCACGCTTCCTCAGCATTCCTCACCATCTCCTTCCCGCCTCATTTCTGGCCAGGCCCCCCCAGGATGCGATGGCGCAGCCCCCCCGGCTGAGCCGCTCTAGTGCTCCCTCACTTTGGGACCCGGCGTCCCCTGCCCCCACCTCAGGCCCCAGGCCTCGGCTGTGGGAGGGTCAAGATGTGCTGGCCAGATGGACTGATGGGCTGCTATACCTGGGCACCATCAAGAAGGTAAGCCCTTCCTCTGACCTCTCACCGTCCCGTTCCCCTTATCTAAGTCCGGCTCCCTTTTCATCCTGTGTTCACCCACCCCAGGTGGACAGTGCTCGGGAAGTGTGTCTGGTCCAGTTTGAGGATGATTCCCAGTTTCTGGTTCTGTGGAAAGACATTAGCCCTGGTGAGACCCCAGAAACCTCAGCCTGCAGCCTATGGCAAACAGAAACCTGGCATGGGGGGGTACAGAGGGCCTCGAGGGCAGGCCTCCTGACACGGGGTTCCCCCACAGCCGCCCTCCCTGGGGAGGAACTCCTCTGTTGTGTCTGTCGATCTGAGACCGTGGTCCCTGGGAACCGCCTGGTCAGCTGTGAGAAGTGTCGCCACGGTAAGAGGCAGGATACCTGTGGGAGAGCTTGCCCTGGGCCTGCCAGCCTGTGTCTAGCCTGCCCCTCCAGCACTGCTCCTGTGTCACGTCGCTTCTTCTGGCCCAAGTCCCCACGCCACTGCTCTGGCCAGTCTCCTCAAGACTGAAATCTTGCCCCCTTTCAGCACAGGGAGAGGCAGCCATGGAATGAAGGTGGTATAAGTTTAGCAAGCAGAGGTGATTCAAAGACATCTCTCTCTAACCATGTGACTTCAGGCAAGTCCCTTAACCTCCTGTTCTCTCACTTGTAAAATAAAGATAATACTTTCACGCTGGCAGAACCGTGGTCAAGGATTAAATAAAATGGGTAAAACTGTTCCTACCCCAATACCAAGCACACATGGGCATGCAATAAATAAGTGGTCTACTATCAACATTATCATTATTCAGCTTATCACCAGGACTGCCACGTTCCCCGGGCCCCAGCCCCTGGAGAAGGAGAGGGCACATCCTGGGTCTGCCGCCAGTGCATCTTTGCGATCGCCACCAAGGTAAAGGCACCCTCCTACTGCGCCTCTCCTGAGCCTGTCCCGCCCACCTCTGAGGCCTCCCGCCTGCTGTATCTCTGCAGAGGGGAGGGGCACTGAAGAAGGGCCCCTATGCCAGGGCCATGCTGGGTATGAAGCTGTCTCTGCCGTACGGACTGAAGGGGCTGGACTGGGACGCCGGACATCTGAGCAACCGACAGCAGAGCTACTGCTACTGTGGCGGCCCTGGGGAGTGAGTAATGAGAGGTGGCAGATCCCAGGGGGTGCAGGAGTTAGAACAGGGTGAGGGGAGGACGGGGGATGGGAGGTAGGTGCCGAGCAGGGTTTGGGGCAGTTAGGGGGAAGAGGGTGTCTGAGGCGACTCGTCCCGTTTCCCTCAGGTGGAACCTGAAAATGCTGCAGTGCCGGAGCTGCCTGCAGTGGTTCCATGAGGCCTGCACCCAGTGTCTGAGCAAGCCCCTCCTCTACGGGGACAGGTGAGGGCGTGGCGGATCCTCAGGGGGCCAAGCTGCCCCGCCCTGTGCTCCACACTCTGCATTTCCTCGTCTGTCCACCCTCCTTGCTTCTGAGCCCTCCATGGCATGGTTTTCCACAAGGTGACACGTCCTCTTTCTCTTGCCCACATCCAGGTTCTATGAATTTGAATGCTGTGTGTGTCGGGGAGGCCCTGAGAAAGTCCGACGGCTACAGCTTCGCTGGTAAGGTGGACTGAGCCTGACCTCAGTGTAGCTTCCTTCCCAGCACCCTCCGCGTTGCACCCTACATACCCCAGCCGCCCATCTCAATCCCCTGGCTTTTGAAATGCTTCTTGTGGCCTTGACAACTCCGTGTTTCTCCAGGGTGGACGTGGCCCATCTTGTCCTCTATCACCTTAGCGTCTGCTGTAAGAAGAAATACTTTGATTTTGACCGCGAGATCCTCCCCTTCACCTCTGAGAACTGGGACAGTTTGCTTCTGGGGGAGGTAAAGGGATAGTGGCACTTTTAGGTTGGGGTAGGACAGGGAGACAGAGGCTAGGGGAAGGGAGGGCATTACTGCTCCCCTGACCCCATTTGTCTTCGCCGCCCCAGCTTTCAGACACTCCCAAGGGAGAACGTTCTTCTAAGCTGCTCTCTGCTCTTAACAGCCACAAAGACCGGTGAGTGGAAGGGGAAACAGGTGGAGGTCGGGTGCGGTTGAGGAGAGGTCCTAGGGGGCGTTTCTCTGCAGCGCTGACCTGTGCTTTTCCACTTGCCCAGTTTCATTTCAGGGCGGGAGATTAAGAAGAGGAAATGCTTATTTGGTCTCCATGCTCGGACCCCTCCTCCTGTGGAGCCCCCTACTGGAGATGGAGCCCCCACCAGGTCACTGGTCCAGGGGGGATGGGGGAAATTCTCAGGGCTTTAGTTGGGGGGGATTTTACGTACAGAGATGGGGAGGTCTTTGGGGTGTCAGGGAGGGGGCTGGGGGGATAAGGAGGCCTCTTACAGCTTCCCTTCAGGGCAGGGCCCTGGGGGAGGGGTCTCACGTCCCCTGGGGAAGCGCCGGAGGCCGGAGCCAGAGCCCCTGAGGAGGAGGCAGAAGGGGAAAGTGGAGGAGCTGGGGCCACCCTCAGCAGTGCGCAATCAGCCCGAGTCCCGGGAGCAGAGGGAGCGGGCTCGTCTGCAGAGGGCACTGCAGGTACCGGGGCAGGGGGAACCCCACGGGATGCAAGGTGGGATGTGGGAAGGAATCAAGGGTTACCTCTCAGTCTTCCGCCCCTTCTTCTAGGCCTCAGTGTCTCCACCATCCCCCAGCCCTAACCAGAGCTACCAGGGCAGCAGCGGCTACAACTTCCGGCCCACAGATGCCCGCTGCCTGCCCAGGTCAGTGCTCCTCCAGTGCTCCCACTTACACCCTCTGGACTTTCCTACCCAGAATCCTTTCCCCTCTGCTCTCTTAGCTACTATTTCTTGTCCTAGAAGGACTTCCAGAGCCAGTGTCTGGGCGTTCTGGGGCCGGGGGGAGGGCACCCTGGAGATAATGTTGGTGCTCTGCCTTCCCCCTCCCCAACCGCAGCAGCCCCATCCGGATGTTCGCCTCCTTCCACCCTTCTGCCAGCACCGCAGGGACCTCTGGGGATGGTGAACCCCCAGACAGGTGAGAGTCTGTCCCCTGCTACCAGCTGTGTCCCTCTTCCCCCGTCCTCAAGTTCCTTGAGTCTCCAACCAGGCTTTGCTCCTCACCTGTCCACACGTGGCCCCCATTCTAGTCAATCCTTGTCCACCTCTGTCATGACTCAAAATTGCCTTCTCTCTCTAGGTCACCCCTGGAACTTCACATTGGCTTCCCCACAGACATCCCTAAAAGTGCCCCCCACTCGATGACTGCCTCATCTTCCTCCACCCCAGCCCCCTCCCCAGGGCTTCCTAGACGCTCAGCACCTCCTTCTCCCCTGTGCCGTAGCTTGTCTCCTGGGACTGGGGGAGGAGTGCGGGGTGGGGTTGGCTACCTGTCCCGAGGGGACCCTGTCCGGGTCCTTGCTCGGAGAGTACGGCCTGATGGCTCTGTGCAGTACCTGGTTGAGTGGGGAGGAGGGGGCATCTTCTGAACAGCCCCGCGGCTGCCCGCCTCCCTGCTCACACACACCGGCACTTTCATACCCTGACCTCTCACCTCACCTACAGCTGGGATGTACCTGGAGAGACAGGGGATAGTTCTCCCTCCTGCCCAGGCTGGAATCCATGGTGGGGTGTGGGGAAGAGGCTCGCTCTTCTCTGCCCCCTCCAGGATTCCTCACCACTCCCCCACCCCCATCTTACCATTTCCTTTTCTTTTTTTTTTTTTGTTACTGCTTTTTAAATATTTTTAAAAATTATTTAACCCCTGGGTGCAGAGACTGAGGAAGAGGGGGGGGAAGATAAGAGATCCTGGACTCTGTATGGTTGAAATAAAGAGGAAAAAAACAAACCTAGCAGCCCTGCGTCATTCTGAAAGATGGAGGAACACGAGGACCAGAGCACTCCCTCTTCTTCCCCAACCGAATGTGCATATGTACAAGGAAAACAGGCAAAAGGCAGAGAGAACCAGACTGGATTTATTGCGGGCTCAGCCATCCCGGGGAGCGAGGGCCCTGCAGCGTAGGCGGCGACCGGGCAGGCAGGTCACGGTAGGGCTGTGCTCGAGTCGGGGCCCCGTTCTGTGACCTGCCGCACCCACTGCAGGTACGGGGAGTTCCCCTGCTCCACAGGCAGCGCAATCACCTCTGCCACTTCGTAAGGGTGCACAGAACTGCGAAAACCGGTGGGGGTGGGTGCGGCTGAGAAATGACTGACACGCTTACCCCAAGGGGCTCCCTGCTTGGGCAGAAACCCTAGACTGCTCAGCAAGTCCCGCCCACTGCACACACCCCCACCGCATCCATCTCAAAAGTTCTCACCGGACAAAGTCTGTCAAAGCCGGGACCAAGGAACTTTGAGTTTTAATCATCTAAGGGGCAAAGAGAAATACGGTTGGATGAGGGAGATGGGGTTGAATGCAGGGCCTCAGCTGAGGGGTAGGGGCTGGGCAGTTCTCTTGGGTGGGGGGAGGTTTCTCACCATCAGCACCTCACTGTCCTCCTCGATCTTTCCTTTCCACTCATAGCTGAAGAGGTCAGAGAGACAGAGGTAGAAAGTCTTGGGGAGCAAATCTTTTTCCCCCAGGACAGAGATTCCCAGCCAGCCCCGTGAGCTCCGGTTACCCACAAGTCCTGTGACTCACATGGATGTGATCTGAGGGATGAGGTTCACGCAGGCTGCCAGGCGCTTCTCCACCACAGCCCTGAAGGCGAAGAGACCGGGATTTCTGCCCTGGCGGCCCGGCCACAGACACAACCCCTCCTCCCCCCGCCCAGCAAGTCCCGATCACGACCACCCTTCTTCGCTCCACACCGAAGTCCCCACCTGGCGATTTCCTTGGCGACTTTCTCGTTGGGGCAGGTGACAAACGCCGCAGAGACCGATCCTGGAACATAGCCAGAGCCTGAGGCCGGCGGGGGCTGGGACGGGGGGATTTCAGAGGCCATGGACAGCAGGGCTCGGGGTAGCAACAGAAGGCGAGAGGCCACGGGCAGCAGGGTAGGCATCCAAAGGAGCGACAGGAGCAGGGCAGCCTGAGAGCAGGGGGCGAATTTGGTCTCTTCCCACAATTCCCCCGGGAGAGTGCACTTCAGGGAGCCTTCGCTGGGATAGATGCTCAGGCTCTGCCCTCCCCTTCCGCACTCAAGGAAAATGCCCCTAAAGCCGGGAGGGAAACTTGGAAAATTAAAGCAAAGCCTCGGTTTTCACACGCCTCAGCGGGTCCACCGCGGCGGCTACTTCGAAGACCGGAAGGGGCGGGGCCGGTCACTCACCCCTCCGCCGAGCAGGACTCCAGGAGCCCGTCCCCCCCTCATGCAGCCTACGCTGGTAGAGGAGACTTGGTAACAAAGACCGCACATAACACCGAGAAAGGACCCCCAAACCCAGGAAGAGCGGCCTCCTTACCTGGGTAGCAGCCACGTGACAAGAACTAGCGCACATCACGTGACTGAAGCCTACCCTCCCTAGCCTTCAGCGCTAACCAATCACGGCCCTCATTTGGCCCGAGTTACCCCTCCTCTAGATGAGGGAGGAGCAAGGGGAGATTTGGCCAATCGACAGCCGGATCTGCCGACGTGCGCGGAAATGGCCCGCCCATTTCCGTGTAAACCGAAAGGGCCTGTTGCTGGCTGAGAGGAGCCGCTGCGGCGTTCCACTGTCACGTGAGGGGGCCGGGCCTCCTGGGCGGCAGCACCTCAGAGAGTGATGCGAACGCACCAATCGCAGGCCAAGCCCGCAGGCCATGTGACGAGAGAGGGGCCGCTCGGATAGGGGGGCGGAGCCCCCGCAGTTCGATGCGTCAGGTGGCGGAGGGTCATCCTCAAGCCCCAGAGTGCCCCTAGTAACAGCCTTGCACTGTTTCAGCGGCCTTAGGCAGGGGGAGGGTCTGAGAAGACGGACTCTCAGGGGCTGAAGAGAGCGCCCCCTATCCATTCAGTTAGGGCTTACACATGCTTCAGTTTGGGAATGGACAGCGATGGTGTGAGGCGAAGCCAGCTGTCCCCGGGCAGGGGGCATGGGCATGGCTGGACAACAGCCAAGGGAAGAAAGATGCACAGCCCTGTATATGGAATAGAGGATGATGAAAGTCCTCAGCCCTCTTAACTTAAACTCAAAGCTTGAGACAGAGTGGAGAATCTGAGGAAGGGAGACGCGAGGGCTGCAGGTTGGGGATGGTGGTGACGGTCCTCTTGTCCCCTAGTCTGCCTATTCTGTCCAGGATTGGACCCCTCTGAACCTTGGGTCTCCTTTCCTTACCCCATCCCCCAAGGAGCCAGGACCTGTCCTACATAACCTCCCTGGGGCCCAAGCACATTCTGTGACCCAAAAATGGAGAGAGAGGGGCCAATGGGAGGCCAGAGAAATGGGAGGAGATGGCACAGACGGAAGTGCTGCTGCCCAGTCTCGCCCCGCCCTCCAGGGCGTGGGGTCAGTGATGGGGTGGGCGTGCCTGCAGATGACACAGGCTCCTGTCAGGGGCCTCTCATATTTACCACTCTGGATTTGGGGGGTGGAGTGGATTTGGAGATCTCTGAGAGATTTCTGGATTTGGATTTGGAGTTTGTCTCAGAGATCTCTGGGGTCTTTTCAGTGTTTCTGTTAGGTTCTTTCTCGGGACTTTAGTTTTCTGGGCTTTGTTTTGGGAGTTTCTGTGTTTCAGGGTGCAGTGGTTGCTGTCTCTGGGCTCTTGCAAACTCTTCTGCAAGAGTTTTGGGACTCCGAGTTCTTCATCTCTGGGCTAGCTGAGTGTCTCTGCCTGTCTGTCCCTTTCTCCCTCTAAATCTGGAGTTGCTCTGAGTTTTCAGTCTCTGTAGTTTCTTTTGTCTGAGATCTGAGTCTGGGGTCTCTCAGCATCTGAGTCTCACAGTTTTCTTTGAGTTTAGATCTTGGTCTCAACTCAGCAGCTTAGGGTCTGGAGTCCAAGATTCCTGCGCTATGCAGCACCTTTTTGAGAGTAGATTCTGATTTGGATCCTTGACTCCTCTCTCAAGGGGGTCTGGGGTCTTTTTTTTTTTTTTTAATGAGATCAGGCAGGGGTGTCTTTCCCTCTAGATTCAGTGTCTGAGTCTTCGTTTAACCCCTGGGAATTGGTGAGGTTTTCTTCTCCGTGGGTCTGGGGTCCCTCAGGGTCTGGGGTCTGTGTTTTCAGGGCTGCTCAGTGTTTTTGAGTCAGGGGTCTGTCTCCCCCTCTCTCCCCACCTCCTTCTCTCTCTTTTGGTCTCCCTGAGTAGGGGTGGGGGCTGCAGAGTCTCTCCCTCCTCCTCCTCCTCCTGCTCTCTCCTCTCTCGCTCACTTCCCCCGCCCCCCTCTCTCTCGGCTGCCGCTGCTGCCGTTGGCTCTTATTCTCCTCCTCCTCCTCCTCTCTCCTCCTCTCTGCTCCTCTCTGCTCCTCTCTCCTCCTCTCTCCTCCTCCTCCTCCACCTCCTCCTCCTTCTCCCCCTCTCTCTCCCCCTCTTTCTCTCTTCTCTTTCTCCCCGGTCCCCCCGCCCCCTCCCCCCCAGGCCTGATGAGCAGGTCTCGCGCCTCCATCCATCGGGGGAGCATCCCCGCGATGTCCTATGCCCCCTTCAGAGGTACGGTGGTGGGGGGAGGGGGAGGGCCAGATGGGGGGGCGAGAGGGGGAGGGGCAGGGGGCGGGGGAGAGCCCGGGCTAGGGAGGGGAGAGAGCGGCTAGAATGGAGGGAGAGGGGAGGACCGGGAAGGCAGGGGTGGGAGCAATGGGAAGGAGGGCTTGGAGGCCAGAGGGGTAGGGGTAGGGTAGGTAAGGGACGGAGGGGCCAGGAAACAGGCCTTGCGGGGGGGCTGAAGGGAAAAATGAAGGGGAAAGAGAGCGCCAGAAAGAGGTAGGAAGATAGCAGGATAGGGTTGGGGGAAGAACTGCAGAAATCATTTGGAGGTGGGAGCTGAATGATGAGGAAAAACATTAGGGAAATAGAAAGACAGAGTCTTAGGAGAGGGGCTAGAGGGGGAGATGAAAACATTGGGATGAAAAGAGAAGCCAAGAAGATGTAGGGGGGAGTTTGGTGGGGGGGTTGCTCAGAGAACGGTAAGGGATGGAAAAAGAGAGGAGGATGGAGGGAGAGAAGGGGCCAGATGGAGAGAGAGGGAGGCAGTGGGGGGGATGGAGGGTCCAGATGGAGGGAAGAGAGGAGAGAGAGGGAAATGGTTGGGGGAGGGGAGGCCAGGGCAGGGGGAGGGCCAAATTATGTGTGTGTGGTGGGGGTGGGGGGCAGGTACAAGCAAGATTTAGTGATGGGAGTAGGGGCCAGGTTGGGATCCTGCCCCAGACTCCGATCCTCGTTAAGGGTCTTCACCAGAGAAATGTAACCCCTCGGGTCTTATCTGCTCTCTCCACATCATCACTTTTACCCCCTCCCCCCACCTTCAATCTTTATTTCCATTCCCCCTCCCTCCTCTGCCGTCCATCACCTATATCTTTCCCCCCATATGGTGTCCGTTCCTTATATGAGTCCCCCTTCTGTCCTTCCCGGTATCAGTGCCTCTCTGGTGCTCTCTTCTATGTGGTAACTCCGTTGTACCTCTGCTGCCTCTCTGCCCTCTCCTAGACTCCCTTGCCCTAGCCCTCCTATTAGGTCCTCCTGATTCCCTCTGTCCCATGTCCACTTGAGCCCTATCCCTTGTCATTTACCATCTCGTGTCCCTTGTGTGCTCCCTTGTTCCTAGGCACTTACTATCATCTCCGCCTCCTGTTCTTTTAGATCCAACCCCGTTATTTGTCCCGAAGCCCATGTATCTCCTAACCCACTCCCCATCTCATCACCACAGGTCTGTACCTGACTACTTTCCCTTAACACCCCAGTCCTTATCATCATTCCTCTTTTCTTAGCTCTCTCTGGGGTGTTGGGGATTTGAGGTGCAAAGGCACTGACGTTTTGATGGTTGCAACAGGGCCTATAAGGGATCTGAACCCTGTGGGCTTTCTCCTACTAAAATCTACCCCTTTCTCAGCCTTGTTCCTCTGCCTCCTAGAATCATTCTTCCTAAGTCCAGACTCTGTGTGTGTGTGTGTGTGTGTGTGTCCAGAATTGCTCCTATGCTCCTAACCTAAGTTCTGTGTGTCCTTCCCTGCTCCCAGGAGAAAGGTGCCCCCTCGAAGCCTAACCTGCCTCCCTGTGCTGCAGCCTGAAGCAGCCCTGCTGTAAGGGTTATGTGTATCCACAGAGTTCTCCTCTGGGTGTCCCTAGCGTCTGAGTGCAGGGGGCACATTGCCTGTAATGTCTGCAGTTTCAGAGTCTAGGCATTGGGGATCTCAGTGTCTAGACAGTATTGGGCGAGTCTCTGAGATGGCATTGAGACAGAATTTCAAGGTATTGTGGCTCTGTGGAACGGCCATTTATGTCCTGAGGGTTCATCTCTCAGTGTGTTCTGGAAGTTGGGTAAATTTTTTTTTTTTTTTTTGACAGGCAGAGTGGACAGTGAGAGAGAGAGACAGAGAGAAAGGTCTTCCTTTGCCGTTGGTTCACCCTCCAATGGCCGCCGCGGCCGGCACGCTGCGGCCGGCGCACCACGCTGATCCGATGGCAGGAGCCAGGAGCCAGGTGCTTTTCCTGGTCTCCCATGGGGTGCAGGGCCCAAGCACCTGGGCCATCCTCCACTGCACTCCCTGGCCACAGCAGAGGGCTGGCCTGGAAGAGGGGCAACCGGGACAGAATCTGGCGCCCCAACCGGGACTAGAACCCGGTGTGCCGGCGCCGCTAGGCGGAGGATTAGCCTATTGAGCCGCGGCGCCGGCCTGGAAGTTGGGTAAATTTGAGGACAGAAAGGGGCTGGGTATTTCAAAACTCCTACTCAGAGCATTCTGTTGGAATGAAGCTCAAAGACCAGTTCTCCTGCAGTATATTCATGGTTAATTATCCCACAGATGTGAAAGAACTTGAATTTTCTTCCTCTTATCCCTCTTACTCTGATACCTTAGGCCTGGTTTCTATTGCTTTGATGTCACCAGTCTGATTTCTCTCTTACTTCCACAGGATCTGCTCCTGTGTTCCTGTGATGTGTGTGGTATCGGGGGTTAAAGCAGAGGAGGTTTGCAGGGAAGCGGTATGGGAAGAAGAACAGCAAAGCTGGGGAAGGGGTCCCTGGGCCATCTCTGACCCTGGGCGACCTCTGACCGACTATTCTCCTCTTGTGTTCCCATCTTCAGCTCTCATCTTTGGCAGCTCCCCCGCCCCATGTCCCTAGGCCCGAGTGTTCCATTCTTCCCTCCACTCTGTCTTCCCCAAGTGCCTCACTGTGCCTCGGGGAGGGTCCTAATATGTGGAATTAGTTCCCCTGATGACCACAGAGACCAGGGGAGGGGCAGGATTGAATCTTTGACCTCTGGGCATGGAACTGGGGGAAGAGATGAATTTGCTTTCTGTTCATCCAAATAAAGGTGTTGTCCCACCTGCTCCTGCTCTGGCCCCTCCTCAGCCAGATTCAACAACAGCCATCTTCTGCCTTCCCTAAGAACTTTCCCCTAAGTAGGACAGGGTTGGACTGAGGGAGGAGAGGCAGAAAGGGGAAGCCCTTTCTCATCTCTGATGCTCTGAACA